AATATGAGTTGGATTTCTACATTCCACAACAGGTTCTTGGTTATTTGTCATAATATCAATAACTACATTATTGAAATCCAAACTTTTTCCTGAAGCTTTTATCCTTTCATGTTCCATAGGGTCTCTAAACAATATAGTAACCATCATATTCCTTATCTTGGTCATCTGTTCCCTGGACTCAGCTTGGAACATTCTTGTTTCTTTAAGCATTTCTCGTTGGATTTCTACAAGCTGTTCTTGGATTTTTTTTCAATCTTTCCAACTCGGGCTAATATTTCATTCATTGCTTTTAATCTTTTAAAGACATGCCCTGATTCTTGAATGTACTTTCAAAATTCCTGATTCCAAAATCCTTTACTGATTATTCCCATGCTTTCATGATTGATACATGCTATGCAAAACATGAATGTGAATGTAAATGTATATGTAAATGCATGTATGAAAAGGAGTAATTCAAGAGTGATCATCTTAAAACAGCTTCCATTGAACAAAAAAAGGTTTTTTAGTACATCCAGAGATCATTACATATAAGGGATAGCTTTTCCTCCTAATTTCTCTATCTCCTTAAAAAGCCAAGTTATTTCCATTCATGCTCAGAAGTTGATTCGTCATTCTACTTCAACTCTATTGTAAAACCAACAAAGTCCACCAGCTTGTGGGCCACCTTGCTTGCTTGAGCAACAACTTTCTTCATGTCTTCTTCTTTTTCTTGAATCTTACCTGCCATTTCCCGAAGTTATAGACAATATTGTTCATTTTCCTTTATCAAATAACCTTTATGTTCAATAAGTTCTTGTACCAGATATCCATAATTATCCACCATTTCCAGCAATGTGTGGTTCTGATATCTAATGGATTTTAATTCAGTATTAATCTCACAATGATGGATAATATATGAAGTTTCCATGTTGGCTATATCCTTCTTCAATGTCTGGTTTTCGGCTTGACATTTTTCCAAATTGGTGATGGTCGCATTGTATATTTCTTCAGCAATTTGAAAGTCGTAGGAGAATTTCTTTGCTTGATCCTCATGTATCTTTTTCCAATACTCAACATCACTCTTCAATTTAATGATTCATGCTATCCATTCTTCTGGGACATTTCTTAGCGCAACATCTTTGAAGGTTTGACTGACTTTTCGAAAATCATTAAGCATGGCTTCAACCTCTGTGTTTAATTTCTTGTTTTCGTCTTTCCAAAATCGGGCTTAAGCTTCATAAAAATTCTCTCCCTTATGACTACTTCTATTGATGCTCTTACCATAAAAAGCTTTTGGCACCAATCTACCAGGATTTTTGTATGCATAGCCCTCCATTATTTTAAAAGCTTCCTCAAGATATCCTTCTTTGGCTGTTTCACGGTTTACTTGATCATAAAACCCTTTGTCCATAATGAAAACCTTTGATTTTGATAATAACTCTTGAATCAACACCCTTGAGTATGTCATGTTTATGCAAATGCAAACAAAACAATTAATATATGCATTTTCAGAATATTTACAAAAACTGGTTAGTAAAAAAAATCATATCCAAATCTCATGCTTTCTAGTTCCATGCTTTGTTTGGAAAAAATAACTTAACCGCATGATTTCTAGTTCGCATGCATTTAATCAAAAAATATGATATTAACTAAAATAAAAGACTCAACATGCTTTCCCTTGTGTGCTTACAAGACTCATTTGGGTTAGGTTCCATTTAGACTCCATTTCTAAGTTTATTATATGCTGGGTTTTGGCTCTAGGGTAAGAAGGGTCAACGAATTGTCCTTTGTTGGTGTCCCCTTGGACTGCCAAGCCTTCAATCCTAGTCCATTACATACTTTCGGATTAAGTTCAATTCGAAAGAACACACTTCCTTTTGTCCATACGGAGCTGAAAACACACGAGGAACATAAAGTGTGAGCTCAAATAATGGTCCCCTATCCCATACGGAGGTGAAAACCACATGACGGAATGGTTTCTCATTCACTTAAACAGGATAAGAGCGGGGTTTTAACTCATGTTATGAATGCGGTGCACAGTATGTGAGGAAAAACATAACAATGAATAAAATAATATACAACCTATTATCCTATTTTAATAACCCCAAAACTAAATCTATACACATAAAAAACAAAAGTTTAGTAAAATAATAAAAATAATTAAAACAAAATTAAAACAAATTTATTATTTACTGCAAAGACGAATAATTAATAAATTGGTGGCTGGACTCTCATTTAAAAAAAATCCCCAGCGGAGTCGCCAAGCTGTCGAGAAGTTTCTCTGCCCAACGACGAAGAGTGCAAATAGTACACCCCAAACGGTGTAACTAGTCTCGAAAAAGTAAGTGTTTATCCTCCTTAAATCAGATGAAACACCAAGTTGTTATATGGTGAGATTGATCACCAAAATGTCATATTATTTTAATAAAAATTCCTAAAAATAATATTAAAATAATATAACTCGGGCCTGCTTACCAGAAAAATGAGTTTGAAAGTCGATTACGTATGGGGGAAGATTATCATCCCCACAACGCTCAAAATTGGTACTGGTATTTATTAATTAATGTATTTGCAATAAATAAAAAAATTTAATTTAATTTATAATCCTATTAAAAAATATTATTTTATACCAACAAAGTATTTAAAATACCTTCCTAATGAGTTAGGGAGATATTTTATAATTTATCACATAAAATAACCTGAGTGCATGTAATTTAATTATTAAAATATAAAAGATCTAAATCTACACTATAAATAAGTTCAATTTATAATAAAAAATAAATTAATTAATGGTAATATATATAATAAAAATATTAAAATTTGAATTATAAAATATTTAAATTAAAAGATAGAATTCGAAATATTAAAAACACTAGCTTCTATTAGTGTAATTCAACCATAAATATTAATAGGGGATTAAAATATAAATTATAAAATAAATAGGGTCTAAATATGTAAATTTACCCTAAATATATATAAACATAGACATGGATTAAAATGAAATAAAATAAAATGCAAATAATAAATTAAAATGTACAAAAATTGATTTTAGGGACTATAATGGAAGATTACAAAGCTTGAGGGACCACAGACATAATTTTCCTATTCTTGAAATTACTCAGATACCCTTCCCCAAAACGACACCGTTTGAGAAGGGGTTTAAATACCCAAATTATGGCCCTTAATGGCCAAACTTCCTTCATTTTCATTATTCCTTCTCTCTCTAAAAGAGAATTTTAATTCTCTCTCGCCTCTCTCTAGGATTCCCTCACCAAAGGGAATTCGGCCATTGACCGGCCACCGCCGGCCACCGTATTCCGGCACTGATCACCACCGTCGGCCATCACCCACGGTGGTTGGAATTTACAAGTTACCCCCAAATCAAAGATTAGAACACCATATACCCGAAACCATCCTCATTTCTTCCTAAAACACCGCTAAACGAAGTAGATCTAGGCTTTTACCTTCGGTGAAATCGAGTTTCCGACGACGTTCAAGTTTCTTTCACAAGCGAGGTAAGTCCTTTCGCTTTCCTTTCTTTGCTTTCGTTTAATGCTTACTCGATTTCTCGCGTTGTGGTTGGTGTTGTTTCATCCTTCTGTCTCTGTCTCTCTCTCGTTGTCGTGGATTCTTGCTTGTGTTCTTGCTCTCTCTGTTGGTTTCCTTTGCAGGCGATGGGGGCTATTTATAGTCCTCCAAGTTCGGTGTAATGATGACCCTACCCGGTGAGTCACCGGACCTACGGTGGTGACTCACCATAGGGCAGTGAGCTGTGTGACCCATATTCACCTCCTGGAGCCTTCTGTTTGAGGCGGTGGAGTCTGATGGTGACAGTGGCGGTGTTTGGAACTAGAGGCGGCAGCTGCTAGGGTAAAAACCCTAGCTGATGAAAGATCTGGGCCATCATATCTCCTTCAATCGGACGGTTGAGGATGAGTTACGGCGTTGGAGTTGTGTGAGAAACCCTAGCAGCCGATTTGGGTTTCTCACGGGCCTACTGGATATGGGCCTAGCTTGGGCTGTTGGGTCTGACTCAATATGGGCTTGAATCTGTTTGTAATTTGGGCCTTCGGGTCTTTATTTGTAATATTGAGCCCCAAATTGGGCTTTATAATATTATTTAATAATAATATATAATAATATCATATATAATAATAGTAGTATAATATATAATTATATATAATAATATAATAATAATATAATAATAATAATAAGAGCGGATGAAAATGACTGTCGACAAAAGTCGTTCGTAGTCGGAACCAACAATTAGTTGGTCTAGTGGGATTAGGTATTAGATCCCTTAAGAAATGTTAGAAGTTCGAATCCTGACGTTTGTGAATGAAGCAAACTGGGTTGGGAGGATCGCCATCGCCTCTGCAATATCCGATCTAAGTTAATCGGTCAATAAAACATATACAATTAATTAATTCAAAAAAGTTGTTCGTAGTCGGAAAAAGAAAAACTTACCCAACCCAATTTAATTTGCAAGGCATTGGAAATTTTGGGCTTGGAAATAGAATAATTGGTAGAAAAACAACAGGTCCAAAGCTGAAAAGGTTATAGTAGTAACAAAGGACGAAGTAGTGGACCGTCATAGTGCCCCTACTATCACAAAATTATTGCTTATTAATTTCTTCTTCTTCATTTAGTTGTTTTGACTGTTCGCTCTTTTAATTAATTGATATGCCAATGTTTATTTTGCTATTTTATGGCAGACTTCAGTGCAACCCACGTGTTTGGAAGCACTTGAGTATTCACCGGCCTAAACGCTGGAACTCATCAGTATAATAAATTTACCTTAAATATAATAGTATGCCCATTTCCATATTATACACATTCTCATGTTCAACACCAGATTTGAGTTCAAGTATATATAAAAGGACATCTAAAACGAATTTCAAAGTGATTTCGCATGAACTCGTACTGTTTTCCGCATATTTCTTAAAAAAAAGTAGAGATGCTCAGTTTACATGTAATGAGATATGAATTACTTAAACAAGAAACACAAATCCATTAACTAGATAAACAAAACGGCTCTCTGCATTTCATTTTCTAGAAATTGAAACAAAAACATGTGTTTCGAGTTTTTTAAACAACAAAGTCAGAGAGAGAGAAACTTCAAGGCTACAGGCTACAGGCTACAGGCTACAGGCTACAGGCTACAGGCTACATATGAACAGAGGAAAGAGGACAAAAAAATGAAGACGTGTGTATCGATAACTAGGAAGTCCTAACCTTTGTCGAGCCTGCTGTTGTGTGAAATGTCCGACCAAAGATAATACAACATGATCGATTACAGCAGAAACAAAAACAATTAGACATGGAACACAATGTAGATAATGCTGATCAGTATGAAACCAGGCGTTTCATTGATGCAGACAATCAAATTCTGACGTGGAGTGTCTTCAAAACATTGCTTGACTACTTTTGCCGGCTATAAGGGACGAAAATGCAGCAGCCCAATCTTGTCTAGTAGATTGAGGCACTACTTCGTTCCCTATGAAGGCAGTCCAATAGTCCGAACAGGCATCCATAATTAACCAATCAACTTTCTCTGGCACATTAGCGAAATCAAAGTTCAATGGCTTCGGTTTTTTAGTAGACTTCTTTTGTTTGTTGCCTGAAAAGTTCCCTGAAGACTGTAGAACACAATTCCGGCATTCAACGAAAGCCGGGGAATAAGAAGTAAAGATCGGACAAATATTCAGCATTTTCAACCAACATGGATTTTATTTCTCTGACTTACCAGGCCTTCGCTGCTGGAAGCCTCAGATCCTTTCTTCCTCTTAGGTTGGGGAGATCCAGTTTCTAGGAAGTAAAGAACTTCTTTCTTGGATCTGAATCTTCGGCTCGAGGATGGTTCGAAATAATACTGCAGAGAAAAATGTCATCATATATCTGTAGACCATCAGCACATAGGCAATTATTTCCTTACATGGAAACACGAGGAAGGAGCATACATCATAGGCACATTAAACATATTAGAATACACCATAAATATGCAAAATACTAGTCCCCGAACAATGCATCATTCCCCAAAGTCAAGTCCATTTTACTTCTACTGAGACATTCATTCACTGGATTTTCGTAAATTGCACTCTGTTTCAGCGACAGAATGAGGACGTCCCATATGTGTCTTTATGCAACACCAACATTTAGCCCCTCTTATGTGCAGGAAAGGACTAAAATTTATGCCAATCAACTGAGTTTAAATAAATTTCTTTCAAAAGAAATGCTTCCATGCCCCATCGCTAAATGTTAAAAATATCAATAACACTAAGATGGTTTATACATTACAACTAATCAAACATTTGCTTTGCCTAAGCTCGATAACAGAAGCCGTGTACATGGAAGTTAAGGGTTGTTTAAATCAGAGTTTGCAAATCTATGAACCCTAGCATTTGATCTTGCTCTAGGTACCATTTGATCTAGCTCTAGGTACCATTTGATGGCTAAGATTGAGAGATACAATGCTGCCCAATGGCAAACAACACTGGCACCAGCAAGTATGGACATTTCTAGCAGCAAAACAAGGATTTGAGCTAACAAATTTAAAAGACAAACAAAGCACAACTAGATATCAAATTATTTTCGAAAACCAAAAGTAAAATTTCAATAACTAAGACTAAGCTTAGCTGAAAATTAATATAGTGTTAGAGATGGGACTCTAACCCTATCAACTAGTCCAGCAGTGGCACCGGAGCTGCGAACTCTATCTTCGACCATCCATCCAGGCGGCAACCAAGATTCCGGAGCCACCATGCGCCGATTCACCTTAGGATCTGCCGAGGACGAAGATTTAACGGGGCCGGGTCCCGGTGTCTTCGGTTGGGCGCCAGTCGGAATCGAACAGTTGCCAGTTTTGGGGGGCTCGGCCGATTGGCTTTGACCGTTGGCATCGATGAAAGCCCCGGGTTTGAGAAGCGGATCGGAAGGTAAATCGGTCGGGGAGGGTTGAACCGGGTATGACATTGCTCGGAAGAATGAGCTGAAAGTTCTCTAGTTTTTTGTGATCTGGAAAGGAAAGAATGGGTATGTCCGATTCTACCTATGACGCTGTGAGAACATTGCCGTACAAAAATTAAATAATCCATTTTCCTAAAATTCAATATAAGGTTAAAAATAATGATTCTGGAACGTATTTTAAAATAGGATAAAAAATTAATATTTTAGATTGTATATAACTTAAAATGTTATAATTGTTTAGATGTTTTCGTTTTAACATAAAATATTATGAAAAATGTAATATTTTTTATTGTCAAGTAAACCTATTATGAATAAGATAATATTTTAAGTTCAACTAAAATATTAGGAAAAATATAATATTTTAAGTTGTGCATAATATAAAATGTTATAGATGAGTCTGTCACGCTCGACGAATACTTATGAGCACAATTAATTTTATTTATAAAAATTTAATATTTTAAATAATTCTACGTATTTAAAATAAAAGCTAAACTATACTAGTGACCACCTAACTATTACTTTTTTTTATTTTAATCACCATTTTTAAAATTTTCTCAATTAAGTTACTCAACTATTTAAATACATTCAATTAAGCCACTTGCCGTTAATATTTAACGGAGAAGCTGATGAGATAGTTAAAATATTTGATATAATTACACATTTGGTCAATATTACTTATATATTCTATCAATTTTTCCTAATTTTAATAAATTAAAATAAAATCAAACCTCAAATCAAATGGTATCATGTGTCACCATCTAATTGGATGATTAAATTTATATAAATTTATTTTTATTTTAATCTATTCTTCTCACCAATTAGAGGGTAACACATGTCACCTAGGAAATTTGGACATTTGAATAATGCTCAAGTGAATCAAACTTGGGGTTTTGGATTAAAGAAGCAAGGTTGAACCATTAAGACAAAGTAGTTATTTGGTTTAAACTTGACTATATACGTTATTTTTGTAGTATATTAGTGTAAACTTAAATTCTTAATATTTTAACTTTAATTCACATATTAAATTAATTTTACATCTTAACATTAAAAAATATTTTTATCTAAGTTATTAAATATATTTTATTCTTATTTCAATTTAAAAATATATTTTAATCTTTTCTTAAATTAAAAAATATAATTTATTCTTATCTTAAAGTAAATATTTATATTTTTATGATAATATTTTAAATTTAAGATAAAAATATAATATATTTTTGTAGTTAAGATAAAAATAAAATATATTTTTGTAGAACTAAAATATATTTTTAAGGTTAGATAAGAAAAAATATATGTTTTAAGTATGCATGTAATCGAACACGAACGAGGGTATGTTCATGCTCGTTCGTTTAACTTTAACCAAACAAACGAACGAACACGAACAACTAAACGAACAAAATTTCTTGTTCATGTTCATTCATTAAGAAATTTAGTTTATTCGTGTTCGTTCATTAAAATGATAAATGAACACAAATGAACGAACGAACGAACGAACAAATGTAAATGAACATAGATGAATGAATATAAAATTAATTGGGTTTATATTTGAAAGGAGTTTTTTCTTTCCAAATAATTTTGGGATTTATATTTTCTTTAATTGATTTGAGTATTTTTATTTGGGTTTAAAATTAATCGAGTTTTAAAAAATTAAAGGATTTAAGGTTAAATTTATTAGGTCTTAATATTTCAAACGGGTCTATAGATTAGACTGAATATTAACGAATGAACATAAACTAACACAAACGAACGAACATAAGTGAACATAAACGACATAAATGAGCGAACATAAACGAATGAATTACCGAACGTTCATGAAAGTAAATGAACGAACTTACCCTTTGTTCGTGTTTGTTCATTTAGTTAAAGAACATAAAATCTTGTTCATGTTCGTTCGTTTAATAAATAAATGAACTTCCTGCCAAACGATTCACGAACGGTTCGCTAAACGTTTGGTTCATTTATGGGCCTAATTTTAAGTTAAAATAAGAATTAATTATATTTAATAAGTTAAGTTAAGAATTAAATATATTTAATAATTTAAGTAAGTTAAAAATATTATTTATGTAATAAGTTAAGATAAGAATAAAATTTATTTTTAATGTTAAGATAAAGATTAAAATATATTTTTAAGTTAAAATAAGAATAAAATATATTTTTAGGTTAAGTCAAGAATAAAATATATTTAATAAGTTGATATAAAAATAAAAATATATTTTTAATGTTAAGATGTATAATTAATTTAATATGTGAATTTAAGTTAAGATGTATAATTTTAAAAAAAGTTAAGATATATAAAATATTAAGAACTTAAGTTTACACTGATATATAACATAAATAACATATTTAGTAAAATTTAAACCAATTAACTTCTTTGGCTCAATGGTCGAGCCTTACTTCTTTAACCTAGAAACCCCACTGTTATATAAGTGTCCAAAATTTTCTTTCCTCTAGAGGGTGACACGTGTCACTCGTTGATTGGTAAAAAATATATTTGTCGCAACCGTCTTTCGGTTGGGCCTCGGAATTGGGCTTCGACTTGAAAAATGTGGATTGGAGTCGCCACCGATCATTTATTTAAAACAAATGGGTTGATCGGATACCCTATTTCTTAAATGATCTGCGTCTTACCAGAAATATGTCGAGCTCGGGAGTCGGTTACGGTCAAGGAAGGATTAGCACCCTTGAACCGTCCTTTCGGTACTACGTAATTTCTAGATGTCTTAATTAAGAAAATTGTAATTTTAAATTAAAAGGTAAAATTTGATCATGAATTACTTACCTCTGATTAATTGACAAAAATACCCTTAAAAAGTCATAAGATGTGTTAGAGGGAAAAATGAATAAATGAAAAAATGAAGAATAAAAATAAATAAAAAAAGGAAAAATAAATAAATAAATAAATGAAATATTAAAATATATGTATATATATATAAATGAGTAATATAACATAAAATAATAATAGTAATATGAAAATATAATATAAATAAAAAAACCAAAACAAAAATAAATAAATATATAAACCAAATAAAAATATACATATAATGATAATTGGCTTATAATAAACTATTAAAAACACATAATACGTATAATGATAAAGTAAAAAAAACTAAATAAAGAATTATATATATATATAATAATACGCTTATAAGTAAAATATTTAAAAATTATATATATATATATATATATATATATATAAATATAAATATAGTATTAAAAAATAACCAAAATATAAATAATAAAAAAATATGTATATATAATAATAATATATAGTGTAAAAAAATCAATTGAAAATCATTTAAAAACATACGTATATATTTATATAATGACAATAATATATAATAAATAAATAAAAATATAACAATAAATAAAAGGACTAATATAAAGAAAAATAAATATTGAGGCCAAATTTGAAAGACAATTAACGTTGATATTGCACATTAGGGGGATAAGAAATGAACATGCCTCGGGGTAGATCTAGGTTCGAAACTTTGAAACCCCACCCATTTTTGGTCATCGGCGTAACCCACATTTTGGGTTATTCGAACCAAATCTCAAAAAAAAAAATAACGTGCACATGCGAGAAATGAACGAATAAAAAAAAATGCTACCTTTTATTCCTTTTCGAATCGTTACAATAGCTTGCCTTTGAATTTTCCGTGCTTTCCTCTGTATTTTGTCTGTCAATCGTCCGTTACAATAGTGAGTTACAATGGCTATTTATAGTGCTTGTGGATCCTATCTTTAGGAGTTTAAATCATAGTAGAGCACAAGGTTCTTAACCTTGAGGTCGCGGGATCGAGTCCCACGAAGGGCATTTCATAATTCGGAGGTCTCTTACGGAAGCTGCTCTCAACCTGGTGTTGGGGGTAGCCTACTATCTTACCTCCCCCTTACCCCATACATATGGGAAAAAGGGACATCCATTGTTATGATTATTATTTTTCTATTTTACTCATTATATATATATATATATATATATTATATTTATTTATTTATTTATTATTTATTTTTCCTTTTATTTTTATTTTTATTTTTACTATTTTATTCTTCATTTTCTTCATTTTTTTCATTTTTTCATTTTTTCCCTCTAACACATCTTATGACTTTTTAAGGGTATTTTCGTCAATTAATCAGAGGTAAGTAATTCATGATCAAATTTTACCTTTTAATTTAAAATTAAGATTTTCTTAATTAAGACAAATGGAAATTACGTGGTACCGAAAGGGCGGTTAAAGGGTGCTAATCCTTCCTTGACCGTAACCAACTCCCGAGCTCGACATATTTCTGGTAAGACGCAGATCAGGTAAGAAATAGGGTATCCGATCAACCCATTTATTTTTAAATAAATGATCGGTGGCGACTCCCAATCCATATTTTCCTAAATCGAAGCCCAATTCCAGGGCCAACCGAAAGACGGTTGCGACAGCTTGGCGACTCCGCTGGGGACAAATAAACGAGTCAGGCTAAGGTAATTTCCAGTTGTCTTTTAATGAAAAGGGTAAGTTTAAATTTAAGGTACATTTCGATCCTTATTGCTTACTTTTGGTTATATTTTTCCGAGTAAATAGTTGACAGACCGTTTTCTAATGATTACAGCTTCCAGAACTTTTTTTCATCTAAAGGCTCTATACCCGAGCTCCGAACCCGTTTTAAGTGGGGGTGAAAGTGACGCATTCGTGTGAATTTATTCACCGCATATGCCTAGCAAGTAGCCTTTGGGATTCATATACCTTGTGTCTTCGTGTGAATTTATTCTCCGCATAGACATAAGGGAATGTGTCCTCTTGAGTTTAACTTAGTCCACACAAACCTGTGATGGGTTTAGAACTAAGGGTCTGGCAAACCCAAGGGGGCACCAGCAAGGAGAACTCGGGTACCGTTTTTTAGAACCTAAATCGAAAGACTATGGAGAATTAGAGCCTACCCCGAAACCACATTCTGAAACCTAGGATATTTTTTCATATCTTTATGTTTTTTTTTCTTTCGTCATTTTTATTTATTTATTTTTATTTTACTAACCTTTATTACCTTTGTGTTTGTTTTTTAGCATTTGCATTATAAAAAGAGGTCATTAATACCTAAAAGGTGTTTG